TTCAAACGCATTACATATTTCGTAGATAGAAGTGTGATTTTGAAACACTTACTTTGAGATATATTATTATAAAATTATTAAATTATTATTATTACTATAAAAGATGCCTTTGATGGCGGATCCGAACCATAACAAAATAATAATAATAATAAAATGGTTAATAAAATAAAATTGTTGTAGACGGGTGGAGACGTCTTACGACAAATAAATAAAAACAAAATGTTGTAGGCGGGCGGAGACGTCCTATGACAAATAAATAAAAAAAAAATGTTGTAGGCGGGCGGAGACGTCCTATGACAAATATGTTATGAATGTTCGTGTGATGCCCCCAAAGCCATGTAGCTTAGATAATTGGACGTGATATTATGACCATCTCAAAGTTGTGTTGTAGTAAACAACGTTACCCATACGATCAAATAAAAATTTTGATATTCATAATTGTAACAATATAAAGTTATCTAGGGTTACTGTGGAAGTACCTAGACTACAAAAGCATTTATCTTTTATCACAGAGCAAACATCAGTATGACCGTATCGGCATGACTTCGGAAGATGAAGCATCAATTCTTGATCCTGTCCCATCTACTTTAGGAGACGCGCGACTGGTCCAAGCACATAACGAAAACCAACCAAGAAAGAACACATAACCAGGCAGGTGCAGAGCACGCACCGCCTGTCAGAATGGCCGTATCGGCGCTACCAGCTTTAATAACGGATGCGACTTGAAAATAATTAGAGGCTGCCATCAATTCTTATTAAACCTCATTAGTATTTATGATTATTGTTAAAAGTAAAACGAAATCAAAAGAGAATAGAATTATGTTTGAATCAAAAATATGACGTCTGGACTCACGACGGCGGACTCCAGAATTGAGAATTCAGGATTGATAATTCAGAGTTCAGTGAGCGTGTATCATAGAAGCATGTTATTATGAAGAATCTTTGAGAAATACAAGAGCATTAAGATCAATTGCAGTTTCATTTTAAAATATCATGCAACGTTCTAGAAGAAGTGACATTTGTAACCTCAGCAAGGCTGGCGTCCCCTCTCTTTAAAATCAACGAAAAATGTAATAAATCCGATATATATAATATCAAATGAGCTTAAAATCCCCCTTATTTTTGCCGAGATAAATATTTTTGTTTTTTACTGAATTCCGAGATTTTTTTAACGACATTGCGTATTTTAACAAAAGAGGTAGATTTGAAGGACTTTGTGTGATGATCTGATACTGTTTCCTATGTGAAGCATCTAATGCGGTGTAGTGAGTGTTCGTTATGCGCATGTGCTTATATTCTCTCTCCACTAGATATTAACGTGGTACATGTTACCTAAAACTAATAATTTCAACAATATATGAATCTGCAAAAATACATCAATGTTTATATTGGACAGTGGACACACACTTCACAGATTCGCATTATTTTAAAGTTTTTTCTACTCACTGATTTTCATTTCTTTTCGTTTCTTTGTTAAAATAATGAAGTTAAATATTGATTATAAATTTTTGTATTCTGAAATTATTGATAAAATACACTTTCATTGTATAAAGATAATAATATATGAATTTAAGATTAAATAAATAATTATTAATTAACAGGAGAACCTTACCAAAAAGGAAAGGAATTTGAACTAGCGGATTTAGGAAGCGTTGCATTTGAGAATTTCATTCCGCGACAATTAAACTGAACATCTCCAAAGACCTTAAAAAGTCTTAAAGTGTATGAGTGTAACCTTCTTTAAGAAAACTTTTAAAAATAACTTTCATAAAAAAGTATTGTTATTTTTTAGAACTACCGAACTATATTATATAAGTCAAGTGGTGGTTAAAGACCCGCCTTTTTTTTATGTGAAAGGTGGCAAACGAGCAGACAGTCTATTTGATGTAAGGTAGTACCGTCGACCATGGAAATCCGCAACAAACATTGTTGCGGATTCGTTGACAAACTTATTTTTTTAGGAATAAGGAGGGGTGGGGGGAATAAGGAAATGGTAGGAAAGGGTGGGAAATAGGGAAAGAGCAACCGGCTCTCTCACTCTATTAGAAGGTGGTACTTCCCCGGTCGAACCAGCCCATGTTCGAGGTGAAGTAACTGACCACAGCTAGGCTCTACCACCTAAAAAATAAAAACGTGCACGAGGACGCTGGTTTGATCCTGGCATATACCAATGTGATTTTTCCGAGGCATATGTACTTTCTAAGAGTATTTAGATACCACTGACAGATGGTGAAGGAAAACATTGTGAGGAAACCGGGACTTATAACTTCACAATTATAAGTTTGAAATCACCAACCTGTCTGAGCTAGCGTGTGTGTTCTCCATGTGAGAAGAGACCTTTTATCAGCAGTGGGCTCTGATAGACCGATGACATTCTGAACGATATCATTTCTATCATTATTATCAAAAGTCACTGAAGTGTTAACGGATATATGTAAAAACTAATAGAGGTTTTTGAAATTGATAATATAGCACAAAAAGAATTAATATTATAAAATGAGATTTTCCCAGCTCCCGTAGAAAACTCGAAAGTTTTAAAAATTTTTAGATAGTGAAAAAATTCTTACAGCCTGTACTAATAAAATTGGTGCCAAATTGCTAAGACAATGATAATTATTATTTGGTGTTATACCTACACATTATTAATGATTGACTAGACTCGAGTCACTACAGCAATATAGTCATCGTATTCTGCAAGCGCATGTAAGGATTTTTCAGTAAAAATCAGATATTTAATAAACTTTAATTTGAAACCCATTTATAGAAGGAATAGAAATAAAAGTTCATTGATACCACCTACCTAAGATATTTTTTTTGTATTAAGTAATTCTAGAATCCGAAATAGAATTCTTAAAGTTTCTTTTTGATAAATCAGACATTTTAAGGCTTCCAGAAGTAATTAAGTAATCCCTTGGGTTTGAAGTAATTTCGGATTCCGAAGAAACATTTTAGTATTTTTTTAAAACATGAATAAGAAAAAAGAAACGTTGATGTCAATTTTTTTGTGATCCGGTAGCCATAGTTAATGAATTAAAGAAAGTTGCACCGAGGATAAAGTATGAATATTAGGTACTTAACTTGACAGATTGATTCATATAGAGTTTATATGTATAATTGTAACAAATTTATCATGATTACAAATACGAATACAAATACTATTATCAGTTTAAACAATAACAGTTGAAACAATACTTTTGCATAAATATTTAAATATATCGTACTCTGAGTGTTGACATTGATTTATAATGTATATGGAGTTTATATTGTATTTTAGAATAAAAAACAAAATAAATATGAAAATGGTAAGAAGAAATAATAAATATGTATAATAAAATAAAAAAATAATTTCTGATTAGTTCGTGAGTATGTGTATTACTAATAAACTGTGTTGCAATCAAACTTCATCCAAAATTTTTGCTTAAAGAATATCACAATAACTTCAAAGTGCAAGATTAGCACTTTTCACTCAAATTGACTAATGTTATATAATAGTTAAATAAAAAGTAGATTACTAATAAGAATATTCGAAATTTAAGGTCTTTTTACTCGGTATTTTATAATGGAATTAATGAGAACCGAGAGGAAGCACACAATGTTCAGAAAAGTTCCGAGAAAGTTTGTACATTGAAAGAGAAAAAAATGGCGCTTTTACGGATTATAGCTTCTAACTTACTATCACCAAGCATTCTGCTATTCAAATAAAAAATAGGCATTGGCACAAAGGTGGTAGAGCCCAGCTGTGGTCAAATTATTACAGCTCGAACACGGGCTGGCTCGACCGGGGAAGTACCACCCTCTCATAGAAGATCGGCGTTAAGTAGTGTTATACGACTGTGTTTCGTCCGACGACTGGGCGATCCGGAGGCCTTTTCCCTTTTCCCACCCTTTCCTGTCCTTCCCTTTACCCACCCACGCTTTCTTTTCCTCTCCCTCTGCCCCAAATAAGGGCGACAACGCAACCGCAAAACTATTTTGCGGATGTCCATGAGCCGCCGCTACGGCCTACCTGGTAGAGGTAGTATCGCCATACTACCTCTACCAGGTAGGCCGTCTACTCATTTGCATTCTTTTACAATAGAAAAAAAAACAAGATTTACTTATACTGAGATTCTAAGTACCTTGTAAAAACTTCAAAGAAAAAATAACAATTAATCAATATCAGTTAATTTCTCAATAATAAAGGTTACTTAAATAAATTATTTGACGTTCCATCCTTTTAGAACAACACTGAAACTTTTAAAAATGGAAAAAGTAAAAATAATACCTGTAACAAAAATAAAGGAAAATATATAGGCGACATACGTTAGAATATGGTAGCAAATGAGTTCTTAAGGATCTAATAAACTGTTTACATTTATTTCCAGAAAAACTAAAACTCCTATTGAAAAAACCTTAAATATCATTGTTGTATGTAGTTGTAAATTTTTTATGCAGTTTTCAATCTACACCTCAAGATTTATGTAAAAGATTCAAATAGCAAAACAAAAGGTTATTTATTTAATTTTTTTAGACAATAAGTATTTTTCAAAAAGGTTTTTATAAGTTACTATTAATTTTTTATTGAACCTAAAGATGAAAATTCTGATATAATAATATCTAATTTTTAAACGGTGGAACCTACTAGATGTATAGTATTCCAGTTGCAGTTTTTATACTATTTTTTTTAATCTGTGCCTATGTAAATAGATTGTAATACAAAAGATATTATAGGCATTTATCTGCTATAGGTTAACAAAAACCAATTAAATGTAAGGTGGATAGCCCATTAACCAAAGGAAAGATTTTGTTGAACCAAAGTCATAGTTACATTTATTAAAAAGAATATTTTAAAGAGTTTTACATAAACAAAGAAGTTTGATTTACAATAAAATATCTGTTGCATGAATTCTTCCAAATATTTCACACATAATATATATATCAAATTTAACATTTGTGTTCAAATTAACATTATTAATTATATACCATTTACATACACCATATAAAAATTATAAAAATTAAATTTATTCTTTACTACTACTTGAATTTCCCGCCCCATTAGATTGGAGTAGCTCAATGGATGCTGACAATTGCTCCAAACTTTGAACCAGTTGACCCATTTTATCATTAGAGCTATTCTCAAAACTGTCTTCGGTAGGCTTCTCAGCGTCACCATACAAACTGAAATGAAGCCGTGCCAAATTCTCTTGCTGGTCTCTTATATTGATCATCTGCTCCATGCTACACCCAGTACCAAAAGCACTCAGCTTCCCTGTATGAAAATCGTCAAGTAGTTCAAGGAGCGCTTTCTCCATATGCTTCACATCTGGCGTCTCTTTCGGAATGTGTTTTGGTTTTGTATTTGTCCGCATAAAGTCGCGATGTAATCTCTTTTCGTTAACATAGGACAATTTTGTAGAATCATTTACGCTACTGTTGCCTGCACTAGTTATGTTTTGTGGATTTTTCGATGTGAGACTTGCGGCTCCACTTGACATCTTATTACTTGTAACTGGTGAAGTTGAGGGTTGAACTTTTTGTTCTTCCTCTTCTCCTTCATTTTGCATCAGTTGTTGTGTTTCGTTAGCTTCTTCTAAATCTAAACTCATGTAGATCACTTGACTAAGATAGTAAAACTGTATTTAATTCATTTCTAACCACTTACAATACTTTTATTTTCACAAAAACTAGATATTTTTATCTATTTACGAATTCTATTATTGTATTTATCAAGATACTTTTGTCACTTGTCAGTGTCAAAGTTCAAATATGCTCAATATTGCTTTGGTACCTAGGTACCTATCGTCTTGATTTATATCTTAAATAATAAATAGATTGTTTCATCTAGCATAGAAAAATATCCATATCATACATGGCTGAAATTATTTTTACTTATATCATAATGGTTAGGGGGTGATTATAAAACATTAATTAAAAAACTTACTCATTTTAATGAATTGTCAAACAATTACATAACTAAATTGTTATTGAAATTAAATAATATTACACATTTTTGATAATAATGTCGTTTTAATAATATGAACATGTCTAAAAGCTTTAGTTACTTTTCAATGCACAAAGATCTGGAAAAATCCTATTATTAATTACATAAAGTTTTATATATTTCTTAAACAATAAATTATATTAAAAAGCCAAAATTTTATTTTCCCAAAAATTCAAAGCAATGTTTTATAAAATCCTAAATGATTTAATAAAAAGAGTCGTCTTTAGGATTACTAATCAAATTAGTAAATCGTAAATTATAATACTGTGGGTTGAAAAATTTAAATCTTAAAATTTTGTTTATTGTTTGATAATAGTAAATTGTTTACTCAAATGCGGTAATTACCCTTCCTACCATTTGTATATCTTTTATTTATTTATGGCAATTTGTTTCTTTCGGTTGTCAAGTGATAAATGAGAGTCGACGAAGTATTAATATATTATTTATAAAGATTTTGTGTAAGTAATAATTATTGACCATTAAAATATTGCGTATATAAGCTTAGAAATCAATCATTTATATGTACATTTATTATTCCTGCAATACGAATTCTTCATTTCTTTGTGTGTCACTCTCCATTGTCCGTTTTTTTCTGGCCACATCCTCAATAATTGTGGCACATGTTTCGCTCGACTACCGACAAAAAAACATACTTCATTCGTCCATTACTTTTACCTCATGCAATCTACTTTTTTTTTGTAGGTGAGCCACCTCGTAAAATTCTTTCGCTGCCGACTTTTGGATGAAACGACTGTGCTGTTTGCATGTTAGCATTTCGTGTAAGCAAATAGCTTAACTAAAATGACAGCATCGTCAAATCTTGATCCGCAACTCCGAAACCAGATAACAAGATATTTGCACACTGGAAATGAGCTCCCAAAGTATTATCCGGGGTGTTGGACATCTCATAAATATTTTGAAGTTGACAAACTTAAAGCAATCGATGAAGCCTTACAGACTTCACCAAATAATGTAGAAGTTGTTAATTTAATTTTGAAGGTAAGTGAATTATTTGAATAATACTTATTTATAAACCCTTCATATAAGTATATTGCAAAATGCCGGAAGAAGTGACTAGTAGAAGATTTTGTTTGTTATTAAAAATAAGTAATGTATTAAATAGTAATTTTTCTTTGTTACCCCATAGTGAATAATAGATGTAACTTGAACATGCAATTAAATTAAATATATTATATTTAGGCTTATAAAGATGGATGGTACACAAGATTTGAAACCATCGCCTTTGCTCTGACAAAATGTCTCCTTGTTGGATCCGCTACTGTAAAAGAAGCTACTTATAAAGCTGCAACTGAAATATGTAATACCCCCGAGGAAATGATGCTCTTCAACAAATATACAAGGCTTTTGCAAACAGGTATTTAAAATCAACAATTTCATCCTATTTTTTCTATTCTAGTATACTCTTTATATTGCTTTAATGTAATAAGAAAAAATGATGAAAATGAAGCTACTTCTATCTACATACATGTTATTTATAATAATATGATACTCATAAAATACTGTTTTTATAAGGAAATGGCCGAGGTTGGTGTAAGAGCGTGAAGGAGTGGTATACTAAGAAAGATCCAATGGAGTTAGCGAAGGAAATAAGCAGAGTAAGAGCAAGGCATGGGCGCTCTCATAAAACATTGCTTCGGAAGTCTCACATGAAGGTTCCAGAAAACGATGCTAGTAAGGATAAAAATTGGATCTCACTAGTTTTACTATTAATTTTATAACAAAACACATTTATAAATAAAAAATAACTGTACAGTCAATTTCACTTCAACAAGTCATATGCGATATTAACGGTCAAAGTTGTAATATGTATATAAATTTAACTTCATAGTCATTATGACTTGAGCTTCATTAATTTCTAACATTATCCTTTCATTATTTTAAAAATTAGAACTATTGCAATTTTTATTAGTAACCAGAATTCATTAATAATATCAAATATTATCAAAGATAAAGAATAAAAAATTTATTATCTGTAATCAGAGCTCAAATAACTATATGCATTGCAAAGGAGATATCAAAATTCATTGTTATTGTTCATGTGTACAAATGTAATGATAGTGTCTTATAACCATTATAATGTATTTGTCTTTATAGTAAGTACACTTTTTTTTTTTTTCAGAGAGAGATGCCGTCATAAAATACGCTATATTCGGTCTGAAACGAGCAAAACAGCTGGTGGGTAATGTTGAAGAAACTAAACCAATATTTGAATACATACAAAAAGTTGAGAATATGCGTCATTGCGAGGATCCTGTAGCTGCTGCCACTATTGCCGCTGAGAATCAGTTTACACTTGATCATGTTCCCGGCCACTTGCTAACTGCTCAGGAAGTAAGAATATTTACCATTTTAAAATTAAGGCATTCTTTAATTACTTAATTGTACCTTTCTACATGACTTGTATATTTAAAAATATTTCTGCCGTGACACTGTTGGTAATGAAATACAAAAGAAATCACTTAAGATATACAGGGTGACTGGTGAATTACTATCAATATTTGAGGACGTGATATTTGACGATCATATATGACAAAATAAAAATTAATATAACATAAATATTAATAAACTTCTGAGTAAAGTTAACCAAAAGTTATGTAATTAATTACGCATCGTATGAACACCCTACAGATTAGGTATACACTGACACTCACACATACGCATGTCGTGACGTGGTGTTGTATCAACACGTCGCCGCACGCGTCCACACTTGAACACTTGGAACGTGTCAACACTTTACTTATTTATACGGAAATTTTGTCAAAAATTAAGTGCCAATTTTTTTTACATAATTCGAATGAGAATCATGTACCGAGTATGCTCCTTAAATATTGATAGTAATTCACCAGTCACCCTGTATATTTTACTCAAAATAAATTCAACTTAATATTAATTAGGTAACTAAAATAACTGAGTTATGATATACTTTTTTTTTCAGGTCTGGAATGCTATAATGCCCCAATTCTCAATGCAAGAATTGCTGTACAATATCCAGCGCATTCACAACATGGGTTTCCTAACAGCTCACTCGACCACCACTGTCATACTAATCTCACTGCTTAACAATCAGGATCTCATTAAAAAATCGAAAATCACTCCAATCGAAGTCTACATTACAATGTGCAACTATAAGAAAAAGACGAGGTGAAATATATATAGTTATATAAATATATTTACATATTAATCCTGTAATTATAAATTTGAAAAATCCTGTATTTTGTAATCATGTTTTTTTTTACCCAATTGAATATCTATTATTTTTATTAATGTAACTCTGTTAGTCGTTGATTGCCTATAACAAATTGCATGCTGTGATTACCTGAAAGTAAAAGAACAATTGAAATGTATTACTAAAATTACTGCTGTACACGAATTATTCTATTTTCTGTTGGTACTTCTAAATAAATAAATAAATTAATTAATATCTGCTTTGTATTTAATAAATATGTACGTATTGATTTCGTGTTTAATGTGTTGTTATTATAATTACAGACCATTGAAATTTGAAAAAGCTAAAGTAGCACTCGAGAAGCAGACGCGTCGTAGGACCCGTCAAATATTCGACGCTCAGAATGAATTGTGGGAGTGGACGGTGACTCGGCGACATCCTAAAGAAATCAAGCATTGGGGTCAGTTAACATGCATTTATATTTAAGTTAAGGTCTGCCTAAGTTCTTGATTGGTTTTTTTTTTACAAATAAGACAAAGACAGTGTGCACACTCGTATACAAAAAAATATATGTATAATATCAAAATTTAAATGTTTACTTTAGAATGATTGCAATACCATAAATTAGAAATAATTTATTAACCCAGCTTATTGTAGTTAAAAAATAATAATTAAAAAAACGTAAATATTATCAGCCTATTCTGATATAAAATAGAATTGAAGTTATTAAAGAAGACAATTTTTATTAATTTAGTCCTTTGTTTTTTTAACTGCTATACAAACATTTAAACTTCATAAAAGAATGACTTTTAATGGGGCTATATATTCATTGACTTGCTTTTTATCACAATCAGTCAATGAAAGAATACATGACAGCATTATATGCCGTTTTTTAAAGTAATCTTTGACATGATTCTCATCATGGTCAGATAAAGAATACGTGACGCTTTAGTCCTCATGTTTTTAAAGAATAAATTGTAATCATGCAACGCGAATTTTTAAATTTAGTGAACTTCGTACAAAGCCATCACTTACCTATATGCATTAACAGATAAACAAATGCTAAATTTAACTATTTAGAGCTTTTCAGCTATAACATAGAATATATAAAACTAGTTACCCGCCCCAGCTTCGCAGGAGTACTTCACTAAATATAAAATAGCCATGTTGCTTAAAATGCGTTGAGTACCTACTAACTTTTTGAGCAAAATCAAAACAAACAAAAATTTCATCATCTTTTTTCGGTAAACATATTTTAAGTTTGAACTTAGAAAAACGATGTATTTTTATGTTAATAATATGTTATGTCAATAATTTTAATACAATAAAATTACAAAATTTTTGTATAGAACATCATGAGAAAACGTGATAGCTTTAATTTTAAGAATTATTAAACTTATGATAACTTTCAAATGGTTTATCGAAATTAATTCATTCAAAAAGTAATTTATAGATACTGGTGTAAGCTTGAACATAAAGTAATTTATTTTGATAAGATTTTATACCGTAATTATGTAAATAGCTTTTCTACAAACGCTGTATGAATGCCAATTTTGAAAAATAGTAAAATGGATATAGTATATTATCCTTAAGTGATAGACATATGCCATCGCAGACTTTTCTGTAGACCTATATAAAATACATAATTCTACCACACATTGTTTTGTTATATCTCAAAGGTTTATGGCAGCGTTTTCGTTAAAAGCTGACCGACAAATCATTTTTACCCAACATCTTTAACAAATATCGATAATGTACACACAAATCAAAACTAAACCATAACAAATTATATATTAAAACCTTTCTCGAGAATCACGCTATTGAGTGGTGAAAACCGCTTGGTAATTGGTGCAGTTGTTTTTCTGTTTATTGCGAACAAACAGACAGACAGATGCGGTGGGAGACTTTGTTTTTTGTATATCACATTTGTAGTCACTTAAAAATGACGCCAGTATCTAAATATTGATATGTTTGTTCAGGTATTGACCAGCCTCCGAACCAACTGGTGCTCGCTGCTCTCAACAAGCTGATAGATCAAACATGGCTCCTCACACCGCCCACCAACAAACGCTATCTGATTACTTTGGATATGAGACACCATATGTTCAAAGGTTGGTTTGATTTAATATGTATCAAAACATAAGATTGAATTTTCTTTATAATTAATTTTTCATTTAAATAAAGTTGGTTGTATGTATATGTTTTATTTACATGTTTACGAAATTTTATCAAATAAATATCATCCAAAAAAATAACGCTGTCGCTGGGTGTAGATTCTTTATATTTTCTCTACACATAAAATTTTAAAACGTCGTGTATTATAAGATAGTTATTTGTTAGGTCGTCATTTCTGCAAGAACTACGTAGTTCCTCGAAAGGGTAAAAAGACTACAGTTAAAAGTACACCGGGAGCGAGCGGTGATGTCGACACTGAGAAACAGGAAAGCAAGAAACATTTGTATGCTGAGTGTTTCTATAATAAACACGTTACACCTGGTCATGTTGGTAAGATATTATTAACTATACTGTACATAATGGTCAAAATATACTCCAAGTAACTAAATCCTGATAAATAATTTGCAGCTATAATTATGGCCCTACAATTCCTGAAACGTGAAAAGAACGCTAAGCTGGCCGTGTTCACTGAAGACGGAATACAATTAGTGTCCATAGAACGAAACTTCAGTAACATTGAAGAGGCTGAATTTGTTTTGAGGGTAACAATCACTTTATACGAAATACTTTAGTATATTTGATATGATGAAATAGTTAAAACACTATGTTTTAAAGACTACAACTGTGGGTCCAAATATTAACAAAATCATGAATCATTCGTAATTATTTGCAATATCAACAGAAAGCCAACCTCGGCCGTGTACAACTAGACGCTCCGATGGAATGGGCCAACAAAACCAAGCAGAACTTCGATGTCTTCATCAATATGGTGGATCGTACCACTCGCTACATGGAGCTCGAGCTAGCAGCGCGCGGTGGTCGCGGTCCCGGTGGAAGATATGGACCACCGCCCTCACCCACCAAAGAGATAGCCGACCACTGTCCCATCCGGTCACTAGAGAGATACAGAGCTCAACACGTTAAAGAGGCCAAGTTAGTATAGTTTGCATATATAAATTTATTAGTGTGCAAAAGGTTACTATACAATTAATGAGTTTATGATCGATAGCACACCTTGGAAATGAAACGATCGCCTCCTGGCTATTTCATCTCATATTAAATGGTTTATATAATATTATATGAGAAAAAAAAAACACGCTGAGTTTCTTTCGCCGGTTCTTTTCAAGTCAGGGTATTTTCTTTTCCGAACCGGTGGTAGTGTCTCAAGTGACCATCAATAAGAAAGTGTAATGCTTCTATATTGAATAAAGGTATTTGAGTTTGAGTTCAATCCCATTGAAACCAGCATAATTTGAATTTTAGAAAAACCTATGTTAAGTTAAGCAGTGTGCAATAGGCGCAGTTAGTGGAGTTTCAATATAAGATGTTTATTATGCAAGTGTATTGTATACACCTTATGATTTGTTTGAAACAGAATTTAGTATCTGGGTATAATAATAGTACATACTGGAGATTATATTTAATTGTATATTGGATTTTTTGTAAAGAAAACTGATTTATTTGATCAGTTTATAAGTACTTCCTTAGTTAGTTACTACTGCTCGAACATGGGCTTGCACGATTGGGAAAATACCACCCTCTCACAGGAGATTGGCGTGAAGTAGTCTTTAATAGGTGCGTTTCGTCCGATGAGTGAGAGAGCCAGTTGCCCTTTCCCTGTTCCCATCCTTTCATGCAATTTCCTTATTCCTTAAATATAAATACATTTGGCTTACCTCTAGTATCTATTCGTCTACATTAAAATTACGTATGAATCCATATAATTATTATTAATTACAGGTTAATCGTGATGTCTCTGGCTTCACACCGAGTGGCCACTACCGACGGCACTCACGAAGGCGTTTTGGACATCATAGGCATTGATGAACACGTGCCCAAAGTTATTGATGCTTTCACACTTGGACAATTTCTGTAAACAATCATCATGAAGTAACTAGATTTAATATTACGAAAAAATAATATATATGATTATAATGACAGATAGAACCTGAAATCTGAATGTATTTAGTACAGTGACAGTACTTACTGTTGCTTCAAAAGTCATATGTTGTAATTCGATTGACTAACACCAAAAGGTTACTGTTGGATCTAGTTGCTTTATGAGTTTAAGATAAGTTGTTTAAAAATGGTTGTATTCGGCAAGCAATTGAATTTTCCTCATACCTCAGTATTCAGTCTATCAATGAAACACCGTAATGTGTTCTAGGTCCATCAAATCAAAAATTGTATAATTGTAATAAGTGTCAAAGTGAGTTTTTTTTATAATTGTGCTTTGCTTAAGAAAGCTTTTTTCTTTTTGGGCTTAGGCTATGAACACACTGTTGTTTTAAGGCATACTTTTAAAATAACTGGTAATGATTTTAATTTGGTGCCTAATTGGGTAAGATAAATTTAACATCTAATTTAAATATTTATGAATTATGCTTCCAATACGCCCGAAACACTCAAACTAACAATTGACAATTTAAATATGTAGTAAGATATTTTTTTATTCCAATGTCGAACATTAGATCTCTCTCAACCCTGAGCAAGGGAAAAGTCTTTGTTAATAATATTTTAATTAGCTGTATTTTTAAGATAGCATTCAAAGGATATATTTGCTTCATAGTCAAGATTAAGTGTAATAGAAATCTACATACAGTTTGTTTCGATATTTTATAATGACATGGAACTGACTTCTCTAGATGTTTCTTTTTTTATTATTGTTTATCTCTGATTGCTTAATATAGCTTTCATTAAATTAAGATAAAAATAACGTATTTCTAGGTATCTAATCAAATCCTAACCTTAGACAGGTAATTTAATGTTGTTTTTTAGTGTTTTATGATATTAACAACTAAGGTTGGGATTAGTAGCTTATTATAGCTTGGTTTTTATAACAGGGTCTTTTTGGTCATTCATAAATTTTGGCACCTGATGCTCACTGTAATCACAAACATGTGTTCAATATAACAATAATGAATGAAACATGTAACAATAGTCAAAATTGCTTTTATTTATTGTTCTTAAAAAAAAAATAACGACTATTTTGTAAAATTATTGTCCGCCAGTACTTTATACTAGTTATTGTGTTTAAAAAATTTATTTATTACTGTTTAATATTAAAATACGGCTAGTGCGGTTGTGTTAAACTTTCCTAATTGCCAAAGTAAAATATGCATTTTTAATATTAACAAAGTACTGGCGTTCAAACATTTATTTGTTAGCAATTAGTAATAGCATATCTCTCGTTTGTAGATTAAATAGAAGGTGAAACATGCTCATTACAATTTGCATTAATGTTGTCAAAATCATTTTCCTCTCTACTTTCTACTGTATTTCAAAAAAAACTTCCACATTTTCCTTACTTTTCTTATCGTTTGTGATCTGTCCAATAAAAGTGTTACCCAAAATGATAAACATATAAGTAAAATCATACCTAATGCATACATACAAAATGGGCATGTATCAATTTTCTTAATGTTGTAGTATAAGGGAATCCGTTTCGATACATTGGTTACTTTTGTACTGATACGAACGGAAATTTCAGAATCTGTGATCACTTGGTACTCTCTCGAGTTTAAGTATTTTTTATATCTGAATGTTAAAAAAAAAAATCTCGTAAATTAAAACTCGAAATTGCTAGGTTTACGGTTTTTTTTTTTATTACATATGTTGTTTTGTTGTAAAATGTTTTTAAGACGCCAATTGTTTAATTCAAGTGACCAATGTCTTATTTATTTGTACACCCTGTATGTACAGTTATTGTTTTTATTTTTTTACACAATAACATTGATAGTGTTTTTGACTTTTCATGTCACTTGAATTATTGACACATATTGGAAGATTGTGTTTCAATAATAGCACTCTGTGATGTAAAGATGCCTTGGCAACTCCAATTTGGTGATATAAAATTAGGCTGGACTTTTTTTTTTACTAAATTTAGTATCAAAAGATAAAAGGCCAATTATAGAATATAGTATAGATAATACAAAAAAAACTTATCCATTTGATTGTTGTAATGTGATTTTAACGCAATTTAATGTTTTGTTGCTTGGGTTATATAGAAACGCTTCAATTTTTATTTAATACAAACATTTTATTGCAATTTTTGATTTTAAATTTATTTTTTTAATTCATAAACTTTCACATCAAATATTTTTTGGATTCGTTTTTCATAAACGCATACATTTTTTTAACAAACCAAATCCGTCCCATTTGATAACATTTCAGTTTTTCGGAAGAGCATAAGTCCTAAGTTTAAAAGTATGATATTTTTGTTTAACCATTCACAGCGGCATATCAGTGGCACTTTTAATATAAGTATAACAAAATGTAATAACATTTCGAAAATGTACTTGCATGTTTGTTCTCATATTAAATTTAAACTTCCTTACTGTGAGATTTTATTTATGAAGAACCTTATTAAGTTATAAAAATTCAGTTAAATGTTACTTGATTCGAAAATTTATAATTGCAGAAAGGTACTATGGAGTATGTCTAACTTGCAATAAATATACACAGAAACCTAATATTATTGTTGCTATTATAAATTGTAATTCTAGAAGGAATTTTTAAAATGAAAAATATTTTTATGCTTAACGTCAACAAAACTTATCCTTGCAAATATTATTATATTCTGTAATCAGCACCCGATAAACTTGTGTTTGGGGGTTTACTAAATACCTTAAGACGACTTCCCTGCTGCCTAATTTGAGAGAGGATAGACAAATTTTTTTGAAGTCAATAATAATTATTTCTAATTTACAATCTTTATTTTTTATGGAATGGTCTGATGTGGAATCAATTGCCTGGCGTTAATTTACTTACAGTTTTAAGACGACAAGTTTCTCATTATTAAATACTCTTTGCTATAGTTAATGAATATGGGTGATAAGTGGTAACTGATAACAATGAATTTAGAGTATAATTCCTAAGAAAGACTCCTAAACTTACAACGTTACAAAGCATTTCTGTTTATAAAAATTTCAAAATTTGTTTGCTCTATAAACCGTCTTTATAGATTTTATATTTACCGCTATGTAGGTATCTGCCTATGTCATACAATTATGACACTTGTCAGATAATGACAGTGTCTTTTACCTTCTATTGACGTATAAAGCCAGTTTGCTATGTTGTAGTAAAATCATAATTTGCCTTTTGTATAAATATATGAATGACTTGTGAAATTCTACTACCGATAAAGAAGAGGGACATAAACACAGTATATAATAATTTAAAACATGTAAGTATAATGGCTGAAATTCACATGGTTTAAAACATTATAGTTTCAATATACTGTTTACAACATTTTGAACGTATTATAATAATCCTTTTAATGTTAGTACCATGCAACACAAAAATCTAATATCTATAATCACGTCGGCGAATTGCGTTAATTGTTAAAGTTTTACATTTATTCATTATTTTGTTGTTAGGAATGTACTGAAACAAAAACGTCTTTATTGCAGTTTTGATTAAACTTTCTAAGTTCGTAATTATGACGGGAGATGTTGATAAGTGGATAGAGATAGCAAAGAGGTGTAAATACTTGCCGGAGGATGATCTGAGAGAACTCTGTAATATAGTATGCGATTTATTACTAGAAGAACCGAATGTTCAACCAGTCCAAACACCAGTTACTGTTTGTGGCGATATTCATGGTCAGGTAATATAAAATAAAAACTATGTCAGTTATTTGTAAATATAAGTTATAATGTATCAAATTTTAATATTTATAATTTATTCAGTCTCATTTTAATAAAATATGTAGTAGTAATAGTACTAGTAAAGATACAATAATAGTGTCTTCAATATTATTGTTTTAATTTCCAATACCGGAAAGCAATTCAAATTTTTTATGTGATCTAAGTATTAATTATAATTTTATTTCAGTTCTATGACTTAGAAGAACTATTCCATATAGGAGGACAAGTTCCTAGTACTCAGTATATATTTATGGGAGATTATGTTGATCGAGGGTACTATAGTCTTGAAACATTGACACTGTTAATGGCTCTTAAAGCCAGGTACCCGGACAGGTAATTAGATATTTAATTTCACTTATTATATTTATAAAATGTATTGCTTTTATATCCTATTTAAATAAAATGCTTTGATTTGCTACAACTGTCACATGTATAGAACATGTAAACACCTTATATGAAAAAGTGAGAAGTATATGTGCATTAAAGTATTTGTTACTTATTTATTTATTTTTGAGATTTGCCTAATTATGTTGTTTGAGTAGTCTAAATTTTATTCTGAATCATGTAATAGATTCAGTTTGGAACTGTAATAAACATGCAAAATTTATATTTTATATCAAATGTATTGTACATTTCAGGATAGTATTACTAAGAGGGAACCATGAGACCTGTCAAATAACCAAAGTTTATGGTTTCTATGATGAGTGTCTCAATAAATATGGAAATGCCAATGCATGGAAGGATTGTTGCAGGGTGTTTGATCTACTTACTGTAGCTGCGGTAATTTTTATTGTATATGTAAAATAGTTTCATCAAGAATTTGATTACTTCATAGATCATCATTTTATATGTATTTAATCATAGCAATTTTTACAAATATTCCATGTATTACAGTTAATAGATGAGACAATTTTGTGCGTTCATGGAGGTCTGTCGCCTGATATAGCAATGCTGGATCAAATCCGTTGTATTAATAGAAACCAACAGATTCCTCACAAAGGTGCCTTTTGTGACTTACTCTGGTCCGACCCAGCTGATGTCAAAACATGGTAACTTAGCATTTTCTTAAAAAAATTGCAGTTTCATATCAATATAAACAAAAACTCCTTACTATGCCAATTTAAGTATTTTTAGACGTAGTTAATATATTTTTTGGTTTGCTTGACTTAAATACTTCTTTATTTTAGGGCTTTAAGTCCCAGAGGGGCTGGATGGTTGTTTGGCAGTTATGTCACAGATTTGTTTATGAATTATAACAATTTAGAACTAATATGCAGGGCCCATCAACTTGTTAATGAAGGTATGTATAGCTATATATTGTCACAAAGCAAATTTTTTTTTAACTGTACAATGTACATGTGAATGTTACTAAAAATATGTGATTAATTATTTCAGGCTACAAATATATGTTTGATAGAAAACTGGTGACGGTTTGGTCGGCACCTAACTATTGCTACCGTTGTGGAAATGTCGCTTCTATTTTGGAGTTCAAAAGTGTGGACCAACGTGATTTCAGAATCTTCAATGCCGTGCCTGATAGTGAAAGAAAAGTCCCACCTCAACATACCACTCCATATTTCCTTTAACATTATACCTAATGTATTATTTTTCACATTCATTTTTATAATTAATTGTTATGTATTGAATCACAGTTCTATTTACGGTAATTGTTATTATTTAAGAAAATAATCTATGAGCTTTGTCCGACACTCCATTCTAGGACCAAAATGTATGATCTTGTTTAAGGTGCTACCCAATTTATATCAAATTATTTTGTAGCACACAGTTACTCCCGCTTTTTTATCAATATGAAATGAAAACGTTACATCCATGATACAAAGAAATAAAAAAGCTGATTTACTATAAAGTAATTTATTTCTTTCCTGAAAAAATGAAATACCATTCATAGAAGTCCGAATATTTTAACAATTATGGTTTGGAATATCTGATGAGAATGTGACTGATGAATACTGATATATATTACTTTGAATAATTTAATCTCGGTTGTAATCAAAGGTATAATCAAAGTAGGATTGATCAAAGCTCTGTACACGAATATAACCATCTTCACCACCAGAAGCAAAGCTCTTTCCGTCGGGATGGAACGCCAAACTGTTGATGGGACCGAAATGACCTTTTACACGTCCGAATTCTTCTTCAAAGACAAGGTGGAAGAAACGGGCATCGAACTTGCCCTGTCTGGTGGAAGTTGTGGTTACTTCCATAGCATCTTGACCACCACCGAGAACTACATGGTCTAGGATAGGGCTAAGTGCTGCCGAGTTGACGGGACGTTCAGTTTTGTATTCCTTAAGCAATTCAAGTGATGAGGTGTCAAATAGTTTAGCAGTTTGATCCTTGGAAGCAGTAATGAACATGGTGCCATCTCTGGATAACTGCATGTCGTTAATTTGGTGGGTGTGCTCTTTGACAGAATGCACTTTCTTTCCAGTCTGAAAAGTTGAAATTCATCAATATTAAAATTGTACTTTGTTAATCCTTAAGTTGTTTTAACCCCTTATGTACTTACTCTTAAATCCCACTGGATAAGGTCACCTGCTTCGTGACCTGTGATAATAGTTTCATCTAAAGTTCCCCACACCATAGATGTAACTTTTGAATCTGTGATTTCCCATTTAAGAATAGGAGCTTGAGTTGAGAGTGAGTCATCAATAGTTCTAGTATCTATTACAAACACCTGAAAAATAACACAAAGAGTTAAAAAAATTAGCTTTTAGGTTGGTTATAAATGTAGGACATTGAATAGCATTTTTTTAGACAATATAAAAGTTCAATTATAATAACACAATTTAACTTATTCATATTTTATTTATTCGTAAGTTAAAAAGATTCTCAAGGTGTTTTCATTAAACATTTTAGCAAATTATCAAGTGCCAGGTATTTGTAGTGGTGTTAAACACTTCTATTATATTATTATACTGACTCATATTGTACAATTCATGTCAAAAGTTGTAATGACAATACAAGGCATAACATATAAACAGGTCATTAGGAAGATGGTTATTTTAATCTCCAAGAAAAACATTATATTACTTTTATAGAACACTTAAAATAACCTTACATAGAATTGTTCATGAAAATAAAAAATAACCAGCAAGGCTTCAATATATTAAAATTGAGGCAATTTTAAGTTTAAATTTAATAGATTTTTAATTCATATACAGTAGAAACTCGATTATCCGGCCCTCAGTTATACAGATTCGCGATTGTCCAGACTACGGACAAGAAAGGATGGTAAAGCGTAAGAGAGTGGTGTTGTTGAGAGTCACATATGTCAAATGACAATAACCAAATATTCTAAACCAAATTAAGCTTATTATTTTAATACATAATTAAATCTGCAGTTTTTAGTACATACATGTATATTTCATTTAAGGAAATATATCCTATAATTATTTATTAATAAACATCGATTTTTGTTGATATGTATTTGTTACTTTTTTGAATAAACATATAATATTACATGTACTACATATGCATAAAACTAGCTTTCTTCATACATTCGGTTATATGGATTTTTGATTATCCGAATGCCTATTGACAATAATTAGTCTGGTTAATCGAGTTTCTACTGTAATTAAAAAAAAAGTATTTCCAACACTTACCTCACATGGATGACCCATAGCCTTATCAGTAGTATATGCGGCCTGGTACGCACTAAAGCTAAAGTTGCATGTTCTTACGGAGGAATTGGTTTTTATGGTGGCTATATTCTTTCCAGTCTCCAAATCCCAAAGCCTATAATCAGTTAATTATAAGAATGATTCATATACATCAATAAATGTTTTATTCGCTGGTTTTCGTGTTTGTTTAAGTACATGGCATTACAGAACAAATCTTATGATTCTAATGTGATTATTTGTCATATATGATTCCTGTTTTATAGAATCTTAACTAATAATACCTGCAGGAACTATCACCACCCCCGGTGATGAGGTTAATAGTCTGCCAATCTACGTCAAGGCACCATACTACTCCTCCGTGACCATTGAAAGTACCTAGCCTCTCTCCATTCAAAGACCACCATACATTAGGTTTCGAATCCTTGGCAGCAGAGAATAATAAATCTCCTTCGCGATTGTACTTGATTTGCGTGATGGCACGCTCATGCCCTTGCAGCATAAGAGGTTTCTGTAATTTTACGCCGATTTAATACATTGCAATCTCAGACAATTGTTTCAAACTTTAAGAGTAGAATTTGTCAAGTCCTATATACATATTTGTTTTCAATTACTTACCATTTTCTAAGTTTTGTGAACAATTTTATGAAATTTTAATATTTATTAAGTGACATGTGGCGTATAGCGTCTTTGACATAAAAGAGAACGAAGCACTAGACAGCCGATAATCATCAAAAGTGTAACTGTCATTCTGTCTTACAGATTCTACAAAAAACAGGTTCGAAAATACAAATTTAACCAACTGCTGTTATTTAAAATTTAACACTGTTCTAAGTCTTACATATGTCCTAAAAAATAATTTTCATTTTTTTCTATTTTAACACAAATTTTTCTGTGATTTGTATTTCTGAACGAATATCAATTTATTTCGCTCTTTTCTTGTTGGTTTATATATTTCTCTGATTTATTTTTGTATTTACTAAATATGATGGATATTTTTGGAAAATATATATTGGAAAAGAACTATTCAACAATATATTGGTTTAGTAAGTAACATATTTCTATGTATTCATTATTCAACACTAATACAGAATGATGATTAATGCCTGTCAAACGTTGCAAAGAAAAGTAGATATCCACATAACATAAAGGAATTCCCGCTCCGATGACAAATCAAGAGTTTAGCCAGTTCTGAAAATTAATTAAACGTTACGGGCGAGTGTTTCTTTTAATACTCTTTTATATCATATTCATTTTATTAGGTTCATACAATTTAGATACCAATTTTGAAGAACAGAAGTCGAATTATGATAGTTTCAGCTTCAGTAAGCTTCTCAGTTGTGGACCTCCAATCGGGTTACCGTCTTTTTCAGTCAGAATTGTGTATAATAAGCTAAATATCGGATACTCAGGTCATGGTTCCAAGCAAAATAGCACTTTTTAATATCATGTGTGAGCATCGTTACCCAGTAAACGATTTGAAATAAAATCAGACAACTATACCAATCGTTTTAAAATGACCACTTCAAATGTAATCTCTAGAATAAGCACAATTCGATGTCAAGATATTTACGAACCGATAGGAATAGGATATACGTACAATAAAAAATAATAGACGTAATATTTCACATACATTTTATTTTCTTAAGTTATTAACCATTGATTTCCAAGAGTACAACTAAAAAACAAATTAAAGTACAAACACGTTATGCATCGCTAACTAAACACAACTGTAGGTAACTTCTCTTGGCAAACCAGTTCATATATTGACTAACACCCGGCGCACCACTCGTACGAGTAAATCGATACAAACGTCAACAATCATTGTATCCTAACTTGGTCAAATGTAACAACAGCCAACGCCCGTCGAACAACAGCAATCACACTATCTGATTGACTACGTGTTATAGAAACTAATCGTATATTATAATATGCTAGTCCTGAAAGTAAGTCTTGGTATTGAGCGAACCCAAACTATTTATAACATGAAATGCAGCACACTCAATCACTCTGGTATCTATCTATATATTGGAATCGAGGCACTTTATGTGAGACTGCGTGGTAATGTGGCGTGTTTTAATCACTATAAACTTATAAAAATACAACTTTCAGTAAAAGCGACACGTGTTTGTGAATCGATTGATTTTATAACTTTTTATGTGTATCGGAACATTATTTTAGTGAAAAATAAAACATAAATTATCATTATCAAATATAAATGATACATAGTATATATAATGTATAAATTTTTATATACATGAAAGATCAAATATCTGTGACATGTACATAATTACGTACAACAAACACTCATCAACTTCCAAATATATATTCTCTTAAGGATGTACACACATTATTTGTTATTATAACTCCTATTACACAGTTCATCCTCATTTTAAACAAAGTACATGAAACACTACATTTTATACAACATAATACACATCTTATGCTAGATGTGAAAATATGTCTCACAATATCTTAGATATCGTCATAGGGACTGTAAAGAAAGTGTGAAATGCATTAAGTTCTTTTTACACACTAACAAATATATTAAGATCATATATTATTATTATTACATATCAGTCAAAATATTACCGCGACGCCAAGCCGACTTCGGATTCACTCGGATCATTGAATATTTTTTGAATGTGTATTTAGTATTTTAATATAATCAGTTCTTTAGATATAAAATAATATTATATTATCCTCAACAAGTGCTTCCGAAGTCGTCTTGGTTCTTTTATTCGCGGCTAGAACGTTTAGAACGACAATAATTATTATAGTAAAAATTCAGTACAAGCATAAACAATTTTGCATCACTGCAATCAGTTGTCAGATAATATCAAAGATTTAACGTTCGATTAAATGAAAAAATATCCACAAGTTAACCAGTTCTGAAACAAGAGTAACCTTAGGGAATGGCTATTTTACACTTTTTTTTTATATACAAATATATAAAGCCTCTGCGGGCTCAGTGTACTAGTCTAATTAGGTACTCGCCAGTAATGCGCCAATTCGATCGTTACTAACAATACTTCTTTGTACAACGCCAATAACATCTTAAAAACTATCTCTCCTTTGATAATCTGCCGTTAATTTATTTTTTATCATCTTAACAATAATCTATGCTAATAACAAAATAAGTGTCATATTATTTACATTACTGTTAAAACATTATTAGAACGATGCACGAATCGCGTTTGTAATTTCACTTACGATTTCTGTTTACGATTAAAAATCTATAAAGGCATCTTTACCTCAGACTTTAGATTTAACACCCTCGCTAGGATGGTGTTTATATCAACTAATACATTATAAGTTAGATAAATCAATAAATAAATATATGTATAACCAATTGTCAATAACTAGGGTAGCGGATGGGGCGAACGCGCTCATACTCGTAACTTATCAACTAGAACATTAAAACATAGTGCTGTTTGTATCGTGAGACGTAAAACCAATTAAACTATCACTGTTCGATTATCACAATTAACTAATAATTTCAAGAATGTCAATTAAATTAATAAAAAATACATATAACAAAACTATTTTAATATCTATTTAGGCATTTGATGGCAGTGTTTTAACTGGTTGTTGTTTTTTTTCCAACTAATTACAATGTACAAAACGCTTTATACTAATACTTATCTAATGGTAACACAATGAGGAACCGACGTACGTCGCTCATTCAGGTAACAGGATTTTTCTAAAATAGTCATATTTAGTATGGACATCTTTTCTGATAAGAATCAGACGTTGAGAATTATCTAAGCTTACAAAGCAATCATTTCTCATACGCTGTATATTTCGGTAAACTTAGATAATACGAAATTATGAAAAATATTCATGTATCACAAGCTACCCTTCCGATATATCTTAAGTCACTGGAGAAAACATTAAGTAATGATAATTAGTGGTTGAAATTAATATTTTTTTTTTTTAAATAATTTTCTGTTACAGAAATAACCATGTCTGATCTACGCGTGTATATTTATTAAACTAGAACCTAAGTCCTTAAAATGAACTTTTTGGTTGTAATTACTTATACTTTTAAAGTGACGGTATGTCGTACTACTAATGGTAACTGTTCACCGTTGCTGGAACGTTTATTACATAATTAACGAGTAAAATCTTATATAAACTTCTCAGATTTCTACCTCATAACAAAAATTTTCCGATGTTATAATACCAAAACTATAAGTTATAATTTATTCAAAAGAACTATACTTCCCGTTTATTTAACATAGTGATCAAAAATTTTGGTTTTGCTTATAAAATCGAGTCACGTGTAATACAACTATCAAATTGAGTGGAAAATAACTTGAAACGGCAGTGATTATTGACAGTGACGGTAGAAAATCTAAGTCTATATTTAATACTAAATTAAGCTACGTTTGCAGCTAAAAGATGGTTAGAACTTAGATGAATCATGAATGTGATGTTAAATGAAGATGTTCATGATAGTTTGGTCTAGACTGAAAGTCATGATAAGTGAAACATATAAAATATGATAAATAAATTGGTTCAAGAATCGATATGGTAATAAGTCTTTATATATGTGGCACGCAGTTCTGTTATGGTTACTTAAGTTCCCGGTTCGGATTCAGTTGAATACGTACATATATTTTTAAATCCAATAAATCATTTCGATAGGTTAAAAATCAAAATGGCCACGCAGTCTTCTTATTAACGAAATTGCACTGAACATAAATTTGATATATTTTTTTAATAGTGCCTTTAGGTATGAAAATGTAGACGGTAGATGATAATTAATGATATTGAGCATAAATTACACTTGAACACAATAAAGGAAGCTAGGTATGTGATGCGTAAATAATTGAAGCGATGCCAGTAGCGGCTCACTTCAACAACTTACAACAAACAAACCGACGTTCTGTTGACGTGGTCACTTATAACTATTTAGACCAGAGTAAAGTAAATTTAGAATAATATGTGCACAGTATTGTGCAATATTGGCAGTAAAATGCATAAGTTGTGACTACAGAAACGGCGCAGCGGCGCTACGTGTTAGCATAAAAAACAGTACAGTAAACAAGCAGTCTTGGTAAACACTGAGAGTAGGTACTTAGTGCTACTTATAATAAGTCATATAAAATTAAAAAGAAAGTTCACAATAATTCACACCCAGCAATAAAACTACCGGTTTTATTTTTTTTTTTTAACACTATACGATATAAAATGCAAACTAAAACAGCAATATTACATTTACAAGAAACAATTCTGTCTATAAACAACGCTTAACTAATTTTTTTTGTATAAACTAATTATGTTCTATATTTACATAAATAATATATTATGCGATTCTCCGATTGACGAATTTAAATATTAACATTATTATATATATTTTAATCTATTTAACACTAAGTAGTGTACACTACCACGTATAAAACACGCATCCAAGTCCCTGGTACTTAAATAAAAGCATTTTATAATCATAAATCAGTCTGTCGTTTGGGACGTTTTAATTCCTCTACTAAACAATAAGCCATAACACACATCTACAAAGGTACACTCGCACTTCGGTCACTTAAGTAATCCGCGAACTGTTTGAGTCCACTCGCCGCGAGATGGCTCTGTTCGTTCGAGATCAACCATTCATTCAGTTATTGTCGATGTCCGGCGTACATTCCTACGGTGAACACAGATGTGGTGGAGGTCATACTATGATGACGGTGAGGCGAGGGTCCGGCTGGTTTCGGGGCTTCTCGTACATCGAGAACTACACGCCCTGCTGCGCCATATACTATCTGATCTCGGCTGAGTTCAACACGAACGGCACGTAGAACATCTTACTCTCGAGTAACAGATTCGCTGCTGCTTGGATCTGAAAGGCAAATATAAGTCTCAATATATTATAGCTATGGTCATGGAAATGGAAATTAAGTCGTATTAAAGTTTGTTCTTACCTCAGGTATCCGAGCGAACAACTCTTGCAGTCTTCCGGGATGGTGGGGTGCGGCGTGTTCCAAGTAACTACGTAGAACCTGAACGTACCTATCTTGAATACTTTCTAGCTCGACTTCTGGAAGTAATCAAATAATTTCCATTGAAACATTACATAAAAATATGTTTAGTTCTTCTATTGCATGCTAGATGGCGTTGTAAGGCCACTTTCGAGCAATGCCACTGAGCGCGCGTTGCGGCGGTGACGTCACCCGCTCAGTAGGTCACTCCGATAGCGGGGCAACGACCGCGGCTAGCCGTTGACCTCCGCTCGAGCGAGCTCGCGTCCTCAAGCATTGTTGCCGTCTCGCTCGCACGCGACGAACGATACTGTACGCGTTACGTGTAACTATTTATTCTGTTATATGTATCTGTTCTTGGCAATATATCCTAGTATTTTATAATTACAGAACTTAATTTGAACAGCTTTATTATTTACAACGTTGCCGTTGGATCGATAGATGTATTCCGTTATATGTTGATATGTAATAGTGTAATATATTAAAATAACTCAACGTTATGTAAGAACTAGCGAAACTAGTCATCAACTAATCCTCGTCTTTCGCCTCAAGCGCGCGGCAAAAGAGAAAGTTAGCTTCCGCTTGGCTTTTCGCTGAGAGTGAAATGCCGTCCCGTTCGTAGTGACGTAACGCTGTTACTGTATTGTACTGATCTCCGTTACGCCTACAAATCAACTATTAACCACGCACTTTGTTCTTTTAAACACTCCACGCTCCACGGCTTTGTTGTCGTTTGTGTTCCTTCGAGCCGAACCGAATATTATATTGCGGTTTTTACAATTGTTTGTAACGAAAATACTTATTAGTGGATTTTTTGTTACTTTACTTTTTAATTATTATTACTTCGATGACGTCCTATGTTTGTTAAAATTAAATTTTATACGAGTAATAATAAGTACTTAATTGATCAGATTTATATATGAACTATTCCTAAACCAAAAGTTAACTAGCCCCGCTATCTTCCAACACACACACACACACACACACACACACATATATACACACACACATATACACACATACGCAACACACTCATATCCGACCACGGAACCGTTGCGCAAGCGCTTTCCATTTCAATGCAGCGATCGCTTACAGCTATCTCACTTGTCTTTACAACTTTTGATCTCATATTAACATCAATTATAACATGTTATACTACTATACTACTATATAGACTATAGAAAACTACATGATGGTAGTTCACTTTGGTAGTTCACAGTGACGATTCACTAGTGCATTACTACAACAATGTATTTACTGACGCATCCAAGTTTCATACATAGTATTATGAAGCGAAGTGAAAATTATTTTCAAACGTTATGCGTGCACGACCTAGTTAATATATCGATAACGCAGATGTCATTTTTCCTGCACTAGTTCCACGCGTGACGCACTCAAAGCATATTTTCCAGTTATTCTATATGTAATATGTATCTAGCTACAAGAATCGTTATATTATTAACGATATTATCTATAATAAGCGTACTATTAAAATCTGATTATATAAAGTTGTAAATTAAATGTTCCGTACATTTATAGTTAGATTTCTTTATTTATCCACAGGTTCAGTGTTTAATATGGCCGGGAATATTATATACATTCAAATTTGAACAAGTAAGATGTCATTTCTAATCAATTTCACAAGTCACTGCAAGTGGGTTATATGTACCATAAATCATAATAATATTAACTGACGTTCAACGAAAGAGACAAAGTTATAAATGAATTAAAACACACACACACACACACATTGAATACGTTAATATGCTAGAGTTTTTGAAGATTATACGGAACGGAATTTTTATAAACTAAAGTTTAATAACAATAGTACACTGAAAATATATGAAAGAAGTCAGGTCGTAAAGCAGGGTTATATAATTATATGTAGTGACCTAGATGCAGTGTGGAGCGATGCACCCTCGTCTATAAGTGGATTTCAAACGTGTTGTCAAGCGAAATCTATCGATCTTAACCTATGTATTATATACTAGCTTTCCGCCTGCAGCTTCGCCCGCGTGGAGTGCGGTTATGTCGCGTTTCCAAGAGAACCTTTCAAAAGCCTGGGATAAAAACTATCTCATGTTCTCTCTCAAGGTCAAGTCTATATCTGTACCAAATTTCATTAAAATCAGTTCAATGGTTTAGGCGCGAAAGTGTAATAGACAGACAGACAGAGTTACTTTCGTATTTATAAAATTAGTAGGGATTATAAAACAGCTTTATAATAAAGTGAAATATTCTATACGATTTATCAAGAACCCTAATTTATTTGTATGCCTTTACGTGGTTAAAGGTTTAGTTGTGATAGAGTTAGTACAATCGTGATCATTAACTTTCTTACCTTGATTGAGGAGTATGTATACTTTCAAGCATACATATTCTTCCATTCTGAGCTGTATTCTGCGGAACACGCAGGTTATTTGGGTCATTTTTTCCACGACCAGCCCCACGTCCAATCTAAGCTGTTCCAACGTGATGGGTCTACCCATTAACGATGTCAAACAACTCTGAAGCGTCCTCAGATTTGCGTTCACCTGTCACAAATACATAATTCTAATGTAATTTTAATTTATACAAATAAATTATTATATATATAAACTTTGTAATAAACTATTTAAGTTTATGAAGACATTTTTGTATATAAAACGATATTATCGTAATAATGCAATTTATATTCGTTAACAGGGAAATGCACTAGACAATGAAAAAACATTTTACGCAACTGCCGGCATCATTGATTTGCTTAGGTAATGCGGTATATAATTTGAAAGAAAATATACTATCAATTAATTTTTTTATTAAATAATTTATAATGTAAGAACATTTTAAGTTTACGATTAGAGTACAAGGAACAAAGAGCGTATAATGTTATGTTATTGCTCTCGGTTTCAGTATGGCTACATTAATATTAATTCTGTGCGCTAGGTAATAGAAACCATTGCATTTTACGATTCTAATAGCTAGCTGTGTAATGCAAACGTCCGAGTGCAGTTTGAGGTGACTTTCTATTGGTTGCGCAACGATGCAGATCACGTAACTGCGCTCGCGCATGCGGCGGAAGTCTCTGGAGCGAATGTGATCATTTGAGTACCTATAATTTAGGGCCGGCTAGCCATATTCTAGGTTGGTATGAAGTATTTAATACTGGTGAAAGTTAACATTAATAATTTATTTACCTCTTGCATGAAATCGTGCTCGTGGTCTGACGAGGGCGGCGCGTGGGCAAGTTTTCCGTGCATTGCTTGATACGCTGCCGTCGTTAAAACAGATATTTCGTGCCATTTCTCCATTAAGAGCTTCGAATGTATCTCCATGGGTATTTCCATGATGAAAGGTAACTTTTTCGTCCATGCGACCATTTTGTGGACAATGGAGTCGCCTATTTTACATAGTTTATCCCCGATTTCGGATGTGTCGTGGAGTAAGTCAGGTAAATGTCGGACGGTGGCTATGTCCTCCATGGCATCACAGTCAATCAGAGCTCGGATCATATGTAACGCCCGCTCTAAAGGTACAGCACGATCTCGTGATGATGATACAGCACTTTCTAATCTCGCTCTTAAATGTACAACCTATAAAAGAACGTTGTATTATGATATTGCCAGATAAGGAGAGTGAATGTATCGTAATTAAAATTATGTATGTACCTCGCTGGGATTTGTAAGGGCAGTCTTCAATATAGTGCCGTTAACTAGGTGGGGTGGGAGTGGAGGCACCGGTTCTTTAGGCTTCTCTGGTGGCGACGCTCTGCTCGTAGTTGTCGCCGCTTTTGTATTCGCTTTCTTATGCTTCTTATACTTAACCTTATATAGGTTATAAACGGCACCGCTGTTACGTCCTCCCGGCATACGGTCTTCTCTTACAGCTGTCGGAGCAAAAAAATCGTAAAACCATAAGTCATACCTGATTATAAATATATACAATTTGAAGAAATTACGTACCTTGTAATACCATTCCTTGTTCTATACACTTTTTAAACCGGCAGTACTGACATCTGTTGCGTTGAGCTTTTGTGATTTCACAGCCACCATCAGCCACGCACGTGTAGACCCGCCGATTCTGTACAGTTCTTTTAAAGAATCCCTTACAGCCTTCACATGTTATGATTCCGTAGTGTAAACCTGTCGCTTTGTCTTCACAGATCATACATATCATAGGTTGTTCGTCTTCATCCCTCTCAGTTTCAGGGGCATAAGTTCTAAGCTCCGGCCTCGGCACTAAAGAGCTCGCACTTGGGACGCCGGTCATTCCTGAAACGCTTCCCGCTGCTGCGCTTAAATTTAGCGCATGAATTTGTTGATGAGCTGGCAGTTGTGAGACATCACCTGCCCATAATAATTCCATATTTAAGGGTGGTCCCTTTGGCCGTCTTAATTCACCACCGAGGTTCAGTAGCAATCTCGCAGCGGATTCTTCACTGCACGTCGTGGGGTCTGGTGTGGGTGGAGTGGCCGTGTGGGAGGCACTTGCTGCTGGCTCATTACCGGCCGTTGGAGCTGGTAGTGTCCAAAACATTGTTCTTACGCCACCCGATTCACCCATGATGACGGCTGGGGCTCCTCGCCACTGGGTCGAGCCACGCATGCCTGCTTTTTGTTCCAGCGGTTGTGGGGGAAAATGACCGCCAATGAGTTCTGGCTTGACACCATTGATGCATGCCGCTTGTGGCCAGTGACCCGGTGAAAGAGCTGGATGAGAACTTTGTTGAGGTTGTGCAATAGCACGAGGCCGGTAAGGCTGCGGCTCTGGTGGCGTAGCTTCAAGCTTTACGGAGGAGAGCTGCGGCGATGGTGTCGATTCATGTTTATTAGCATTAGAGTTTTCAGATTTGACAGAGGACGTTCCTTCAAATTTGATGACTGAATACGGTGGTGCTGAACGGATGACGGTGGGATGGCATGAAGGCGAAGGTGAGGGTGAGCCGCCGCCGTCGAACACAGGCGGCGGGTGAGGCGGCGTGCTGCACCCCGCCTCGGCCATGCGCGGTGATGGCGGCCCCGGGTCTGGCGAAGACGTACTGGTGTCGGCTGCCGATTCGCCTGTGAACACACACAAAAAACACGTTTATTAGCAGCGGTACCCTTCCGCCTTCCCGCAAAAGAATAGGCGGGATTTTAATAAGTCACAAATAGAAACTAGGTGAAATGTCAACGACCGAGCAGCGTGGTCGCAGTTAGAAGTGCGGGGTGCGGCGCAGGGACGCGACACTGCACTTCCCGCCACCGCCGACTAGATTAGCCGGTTGCGTCACAATGTGAGCGCGGCCCCGACCACATAGAAAAGTTATTTAATTCACGGAAGTAAATGATTTTATAAGAACCTTTTACTACTGAGACGATCGCTCTGTTGCAATGCCGTGTCCTATTATGAAATAAATATGTTATGTATTATATTAATGAAAACGAATGGAAAATGTAGGAAGTGTAGTCACACGTAGTAAAGTGAACGCGAGATGCAGCGCTGCGGTCGAGGAGAAAGTGAAAGCAGCGCGAGCGCAGATGCGGCGCCCGGAAGCGTTGGGCTTGTACTCGAGCGTTGCAACGAGCTACAACATTACAAAGGACTCTAGCATATAGTTATTATACGTACTTAAACATATAGCTCTGAGCTATAAAGGATTTTCTATTTAATTGCTATAGTTTGAAAAATTTTATATAACCCAAAAGAATTTTGTATGTCTCACTTTCAGTCTAGCATAAAATATAGTATGCAATCGAACTCAATCTTCACAATAACAATTATTTTCACTATATCAAAATTTAAAAGTTTTTCAAAAATTATATAATATGTTAATGAAATACTTCACTTTACTTTATATAAGAAATTATACCGACTTTTTATTACTAAATCCATATGTGTAGGTTACCCGCTTCAATGTCGGTTTAGCCCGAATCACTAGGTCCATTGAACTTATAAACTTTTGACAGCATAACTTGCACACGAGCTTCTACAGATTAATAACGTTAGATACTCGCGAAACGTTCGACTACAAATATATGGGGTACGCTATTCGGAATTGTTTTCGCGGTTTTGTTTACGCGGGGAAAAGTGACGAAGAAAGTTTTCCACTAGTCGGCTGGCGGTAGGCACGCGCAGTGAGCCCGACCTACCGCACGAGCGGCAGCGCGGGCCGCTCCCCGCGCCTTTCCCGGTCCCTCCCTTCAGCACTATTAGGTCACTCAGACGGCCGTGCGTGCGAACTGCAGCCGCACAATGACTTGCAACGCGTGCACCGCTCTCGCTTCGAGGACGATCTCTATTTCACTCAGCGTCCTTTGCCACATCACTGGTGGGGACTGATCTTTCTAGCCGCGTGATGCAATCCGCTGAGGTCCTACACTAGTTTCTTAGATAAGTCCCAATTGAATGCGGCTCATTAACTTGATTGATCGACACTGTGTTTATATTAATTAAATGCGATTTGAGATTCGTGTAAATATTTCAGTATTGCGTTACTGTATTGGATTGTTAAGTATTTTGTATGGTTGGGAAAATTGTTTGCATGTAAATGTTACGGAAATGAGATTCAACAGGGAAGTTCCTGACGTAACATGCCGTTCTTTCTGTAGAGGTTCATTTTCGATCGGTGCAAACGAAGGTCGTATGCGGTCACTGACCGAGAAAAACTGGGTCAACCCCTACTCTGTTTCCAACCCACTTGCCACCCGAGGCGCCGCAACGCCACGTGTCAATGCGCCGGCCCTCGGCTATTATTAAACGTGTCTTTTAATTATCTGTATACTATATAATAGATCAAATTATATTTACACGACAGCATAATGCAGCTTACATTATTTGCTCCTTAAGATAGCTATGTTATATCAGTTTCATTATTAAATATAGACGCTACTCTTAAAATGTTTATTAAATAATTTATTGTTCACATTATTATAATATCCTGTCTAAATTAACCAAGAAACTGCTCCGTAGTAATGAAAAATTAACATATAATATAAACCGCTTACCAATTTTTTCGACGTGTCTTTAATGGAAATTGCAAAAATAATTATATACAAAAATTATTTGACTTGTTTTTTATGAAACATGAATAGTGGTGTATTTTAATAGTTATAATCTTTCGAATGCATGTATGATTCATGACGCACAGTACTGCACACCTCCACTCCGCGTCACACCCCCCGACCAGACTACACGTCATGAAAACGTTATCAATGTATACGCAAACGACTATAAAAAACGTAATTTCTTACAATGTAGCAATAGTTTTCTGATATCACTTTTGGTTCCTTTTTGAATTTATTTATATAACGTAAATATTTTTCAATAATCCTTAATTTTTTAGGTTCGCTTGTTGCTCAAACAATCAAAATGTTATGTTTATAATTTTGTACAAGCAAAATACGACGAATCGAAACTGGAAAGTCAAAAATAAATTCTTAAATTATCACATGTTATAAATTTTTCTTTGTCGTATGATCTTCATATAAACTCATTTAAATTACCTATAATCTCTTCAGAATACACCTATTTAAACAGTCTTAGTAATCAAGACGGTGTAATTATCTAACTCTCCATTACTCTATAAAAGATTTTCTAGATAACTCTCAATATTTAACAACATATTTTTATATTCTATATAGTTTTCGAAAGTGCGTTTATATATTTACGAGAGTCTGTAACCTTTAAAGCCTAGCTGATGGAAATTATCACTCAGAGATTTTCTTGTTTTATCATTACAAATTATAAAGAACAATATTATTTCATACACATAACTAATATATTTAATATCTCAAGGGAATATAAAAGTACCGAAGGATTATTGAATAATATTTTGTCAATGGTTTGATAAAAGAGAGATGAAAACGTATGTATTGGAGTATATCCTATGATTTTTGTAAACCTATCTATAAATTATTTATAGCATTAGAAAGAGATCTTATACATATGTTAGTCAAACTATAATCTAATCTAGTCAAAATAATCTAATATTTCACACTGTCAAAAACTATTTTAATATTATTATGTCTTTATAAGAAATCATAATAAAAATTCAACAAATTTAAATTTCTAAAATTATGTTTAACAGTCCGTTAGCGAGATTTTAAATACAAAATATTTTTCAAAAAATAAGATGGCTATTTTTATAAAAGAAATCAGCAATTAAAACTTTCAACTGTCATAAAGATAATCATCGCCCAAAGAAAGATTAAAAAAGCCTTAAAAAGCCACAGCTTACCAAATTAGAAATATTCAAAAAACATACACAAGTTGAAAGTGCCAAGATTTATCTATATGTTATTTTGTATGTGAAATAATTTTGGTTATAATTACAGCTATAAATACAGCATGGCATTGGACTTGTCTAACCGGTATTTAATTTGGAGATTCGAGTGAAAGTGTATACACTGTGGATTGTTTTTCACGTTTGATTACGAAACTTTCGACGGATGACGTCGCGTCGTTTTAAAACGATATTTTTTTTTATATATAAATATTGCGTAATATTTTGATTAAAAAAAATAATAATAATAAATAAATCCCATGCATTTCGATGGCAATATTTGTTTGAGTGTAATTAAAGGTTATTTTCTGTTATATGTATTTTAAAGCTAATCAATGTTGTGGTCTCTTCTTATTTTATTTAATAAATGATTTTCACAAAGAAGATATTCTGAAATCGTGCTCTTTTAATAAATCTTTATCAAATGTACCTTATGTTGTTTTTGTAGAACAAAATAATGTTTTAAAAGAAAACTCATATCTCTGTAAGCGAAACAGAATTACCAGGAACGAGTCGAATTCACTATCGCATTCGAAAGTGACAAGCATTCCGTGAGTTGAGTTTCAAAGGCTGACTCGGTCGGAATAATAATTTACCGCTCATGACCTTACTCCTTACTGCCATGGTATATTATAACGATTTACTATTTAGATTTATATGCCCAGCAGCATTAAGATTAGTTATTTCCGTGTTTTGACATGAATTATTATCAGATTCATTTGTTGTAAATGTTGATGTTTGGTTAACGATTACCCTAATTCTCTTATATATTTGTTCGGTTAGAAGTTGATTAATGAACTCACCATCACTGCTACATCGGGAGTCAACTTTCCGCCTCTTAAGTTTGAGGTCTTGGAACAGACTCATATTGTCGAGGTCACACGGCCCGCGGCTGAGTGTCATTATTCCTGAGAACAAACAAATAATATATTAATAAAACATTAAAAATATATTTATTGTATATTTCTTGCATCGTTAGTAACGTTCGATTTAGTTGCGATTGTAATTATATTATGCGTGTTATCATAATTCGTGTAAAATTATGATTTACTCACTGCATTCCGTTGGCATGTCGGCCTGTGATAGGTAAAATGGACCAGTTATATCTGATGGTCGGTCGTACATTTTCTACATCACAAGAACAAAAATTTTCAATGTATATTCAATCCTTTTATAGATTTATTACCACATTTAATATTCGAAAAATTTATATTTACTGGAATGTTTCCTAGTAGCATTATAAATATATCAATAGGTCCGACCGCTGCGTACACTACCCGCGTAACTATGGATATCATTTCGTGAAAGCATGTTTTATTCCTTCCATACAATTGTATACGTAATTTTATGACATTGATAATTGAAATCTGCTGGACCATGAATACGTGCGTCCGTTGAAATATTCACTCATAAGTTATGACATGTGCCGCGTGAGAAATGTGTTTCTGTGACGTACAAATACATACGTAAAAGTTACGTATTTTGATATGAGAATTGAGAATGGTCGCGGCCAATTAGTTCATGAACAGACTAAATATATGGCTAGGATTGTTGCCAAAGGGCCGTAGTTGAATTAAGATCTGAGAATAAATTAATTATTAAGATTCATTATCAAAAATAATTTTCATCATATGAATAAACTGGTTGCGATAAATAAATAACATGATAATGTCTACGAAATCTTTTATATTTTTTTTTTAGGAACTGCGTCGTTGCATTTGCGTCGTAAACAGAACGACTTCTATTCAACAACAAAATTTGTTAATGGTATTGAAAATTTTAGTTACCGAAAAACTAAAGAATTATCACGTTTCATCACTTAGCGTGAATATTATATGTTATTGAAATAATTGTGGGAATACAGTTTATTCACTGACTTTAATAGAAGCAAATCGTTCGTTTAACAGTTTTATGGGTGATTTTTTTCATATCAAGAGTTCTTATATTTGTTCTGATATGACGTTTTATTATTTTATTATTAGATTATTGTTTAATGTATAAACGTCATTGGCTGTAGGTTTCCGTCATAACGGCCAATGCACAAAGCACCCTGACCTTGGTAGTTCTGTTCTTATATTGTAGTTGTGAACTTGAGACGTATATAAATGTATGTCGTGGAGCGAATTAAAACGTTACACTTTATTTATGATGTGCTAAATGTTTGGAAACTTCGTATCACAGAATAAACAAATGCCAAGTGAATTTTAACAGTTCATTATGTGTTTAAATTATTGCATATTAAAAAGGTATCAATCTGTGGCTACTAAAAAGTTTTTATATGTGAGTTTTAATGAAAAAATATAGAATCTAATAAATCAAATTGTCAGTGCATATAAGTTTACTTATTATAATTTCAATCACAGTTAAAATACCGGACACTTTATTGGGTATATATTTTTTTAAAACAATAGGAATCTACGTAAAAATTACGCAGAATATTTTATCGAGTGCAATAAAAATATTACGTGTATTTGATAAGGAATTAAATTAATAAAAACAACTTGGCAAAAAATACTAAAATATACCTTTTTTATTACACTCCGTATATTCAACTTAAAAGTGACCCTTAAATTAAACAAAGCATTAAATGTCAGCCGTAAGAAATATAATTTTACTGAATTGTATAAACAAAAGTGCATCGCTCTATAATCCTATACAGTTCTGGCAAACATTTTAATTTAAAGAGTCAATGACCTTGATAATGGTAACGAAATGTTAATGAAAATATATAATTCGCGAGTTCGTATTTCACACGTTAATATTTAGAGGTCAAAAAGTATCAAACTTCCTTAATCTTCTTGATGCGATACATAAAATTATTAGCATTTATTCAAAAAATGATTTGATATTCCTTCTATTTCCTTGTAAATTTAAATATAAACACTGCATGGCATTCAATAATTGAGGAATCTCATCTGTTTGTATTGTTTAATTTAAAATTTAAAACAAAACTTTTGACTTACGAAACACAAGATCACTAATTAACCTCGACAATGACAATTAATACAAGGATAAGGGGTGCGTGTTTGAACTTGGAAGTACAGGTTTCACGAGGTGACACAAGTAACTCGGAAGACTGTATACATTTTATGATAATAAACGTATTAATAAAATAAGTCAGTGGTGGCGTAGTGGTTAAAAGGCCCGCCTCTCAAGCAAGAGGGCGCGGGTTCGATCCTCGCAAGTACCAATGTGATTTTTCCGAGTCATATGTACTTTCTAAGAGTATTTAGACATCACTTATTAATGTTGATTCCCAAAGAGGGTTGATGTCAGGCAGGCGGCCGGTCGTAAAACAAATAGCCAGAACTATTCATAACATGTAAGGCAGACCCTGGCTATAGCTTGGAAATTGCCAGGTAGAAGAATAAACGTATTAATAAATTAATTATATGAAATATATTTAGTATGTGTAAATTCGATATATTTTGAGACGAGGTAATATTAAGTGCTTTCGATTCTCAAGTAAACGTGTTGAAGCGGAAAATATGTGTGGCTGTCCTTTGACATGGTCACTGGCTTATCGCTCAGCGGATAACCGTTTCCCTCCCATTGCTTACATGTTAGCTGACTATGCTTTAGAACATTGATAGATAATTTGACATTGTAATATATTATAGAAATAACTTCCGTTGTGTCAAACAAAGCGTTTTAACTCGTGTGATATATATAGAAATTCTTTGTTATGATCAATTATATTTTATTCTGTTATGATATAATTCACTTAATGATCGAACGTTTGTTGAATAAGTCATTAAAACCGATCAGGAAGTGTTCAATGTTGAGTGACAAATTCGGTTTCGTCGCGAGGTCGACCGTCTGCCATCTTAGCACACGTGAAAATGAACGCATATAAGATATCCGATTATTTTTAATAATAAAATAATTATTAATATAAATTTATTATTTGATAAATTTCGTCTGTGGTACATATTGACAGAAAATAAAAGTGACAGCACCTGTCAGTGTGACAAGTTATTTTTTTTTATTGTAGATTAATTAAAAAAAGGTTTTATGTGTACAAGATCTTATAATATTGTAGGCACATAGCTAGATGATAATAAAAACAAACGCTTTGTTGAATAACTAATAACTATAGTTTTATGACATTCCGTTCATGACTTCATAGAATTGTTATTGGATAGGGCTTCCTTAATGTTGAATTAGATGTTAAATTAGATTTTGTACTTGGAATCTTAATTATTGTATGAAATAAAGCGAAATGTATGTATGTTTTTTATAATGTGTTTGTTAATCAGCATGTATTTTGACTGGTGTGATTCAGCCTTCGTTTGCACGCCTTGACATTCAACCGGCACGAATGAGCCGTTCCTTTTAAAAACTGTATTCACTTCCGATCTATTCACTTCCTTTTTATATATATGTTGATAAATATAGTTAATATTATTAAGAAACTTGAGATTATACTCTTCCGGATTTTTTTTTATATATAACAGTATATTTTAACGTCATTATTAGTATGGAATATTTAGAAAGAAATACGATGAATATTTTTGAAAAATATTCGTTCTATTTTTGAAAATTGTTGCATTAATGTCATCCTTAAAAAAAAATAAGATTAGTTGCTACATATTGAAATGAACAATCGCTTTACAGATTAAAAATATGCTCAGCCATCTATTATTATTTGAATACAACGCCTCCCACTACGATGTTATGAAAGGAAGCAATGACATTCAGTACCTTTTCGCTTTCACCGCATTGGAAAGTGAGTGTAAAAAACGTATTTTGGCAACGTCAAAATGGCGCGGGTACATCGACCCGAGTCATAGACCATAGACAAAGGGCAACTGTACAAAAGTAAAAATGCCCGTCATAGACTAATAATACAAATGATAGATTATAACACTTTCATTTGTTTTGATCTAAATGGTTCGCTGATTTTTAATATAATTTTACATATAAATGTATTGTGGTTATTTCTTTAATATAAATTATGCTGCTGCAAATTAAGCTGCGGCTGAGACCCGAAGTCACGATTATGATTCACGAGACGATTTGGGAATGTCATGGTTAAAGCCGAACGGTACTGGCTTTTGTTTTGCAATCAATGTATGCGGGCTTTATATTGAAATTATTTCAGAATAGATAAGTTTGCACAATAAGACATTGAGATCATTGCACAATACAAGTCATCATAGCTAACAAAAAAAATATTTATATTTCTAAGGAAGAAATTTATATATTTTTTTTTTAAAACACTATAAACTTCCGGATATTTGTTTTGATTTTTTTTGACATCATCAGAATGAGTTTTTCAGAAAAATAAATACTTTGATTTTAATATTTAAAAATCAATGTGAATAATAAAAAATGTATTGCATTTGATTCGTTGAGAACAAAAAAAAATTATTTCAATTTCATCGAATTATACGAAAAAAATGAAAAAGACGCATATTTGCATTATAAGGATATAACAAGATTTGCGCCAGCGTTGTAGCGCGTAGCTAATTGCTACGACGGGCTCTACGTTGATCGCATTATTTGTGTGAAACGTATTATAGGTACTGTTATATTATTACTATGAGTTTTTTTCATATGAATATTTCTATGTGTATATTTACCCATTGTGGATGTCATCGTCTGTAGCTGTAGTGCGTGTGCGGAGGCGTCCAGCGCCTCTGGTCCCAGCCGTTCGCTGGTCGACAGCTTGCCTACCACAACAGCCCGCACATCACATAAAGTTCCACGGCTTTATAGAAACACCGAAACACTATTTCAATTTACGTCTCCGAAAATTTTTCGTAACACAGACTCTCAGCATAGTTTTGGGTACATCCAGTCGGGTTCAGCATGCAGAGTACAGCGCACTCCCTGCGGATAAGACGAAACGTACACATAAGGATCGCGCGGCCGGAGCTCGGTGAACCTCTAGATTCGGCAAAATCACGATAACGACTGAACGCGAATGTCGTCATGCCGAAATTCGAAACACTTTCACCTAAATATTCCGCCTCCGTTTCGGCAGACGCGGGCGACGCTCTCGGCGCTCACGCACACACACCCGTCACTGTCAGCGCTCAATTACGTACATTGTAAAAAATTGCGTCAGTGTATTTCGTTGCCGACCTTACTTTAGTAGAGTACACCGCCGAAATATAGTCGTCTCTGTCTTATACTCATTCACTGTTACGTAGCTTGTTTTTTTTGTTTCATTCTTTTTATCTGACAGCTCGGTTCGAGGACACGCGTGTGAGTGTGCGGATTTCGATAGCGGGGTCGATGAACCGCCGAAAGGGATTTTGTTAAAAGCAGCGAAGTCAGTGTTAGGATGGGTTGCAGTAATGGCTCTGGGTAGCGCGGTTGCGTGTGTGGCCCGATGGAGGGGAACTAGTCATCGCGGGCGCAAAACTGGGTCAGCCACATGCGCACGCGCAGTTCTTCATGACCGCGCAACAACTGCTATATACTAGTATATTAGAGCGTGATTTGCTAAATGAACTTTATGACACTAGCCTGAATCTATTAAGACTTAATGAAATCGAGTTATTAAAAAATATTAATTGATTTTAATTTTATTTAAAACAAAAATTAATATTGTGAGACCATTAATATACGTTATTTATTATGTACACACTGGTAGATAAGCGATCCGACATTTTTTTTTGTCTAAAAGGTTAGCCGGGCCGATGGCACAATTCGGTGTTGGATTACATTAAAACAGAGTTCATTCGCATCGGCCTCTATTCGTGAAAATCTAGATTACTGATTCATTGTGTTAACAAAGAACAGTCAATATTCAACAGGTGTAGAAAGGAGGGCTTTATGTTTGAATATATTTTTATTGTTATTTACTTAAAAAAGAAATACGCTACCTTTGTTAGCTAAAATAGCGATGAATATCAAAAGTAAATTTAATATAAGACGAATAAATAACGAATCCGCAAAAGGCGAGGTGAAGTCTCGAGCGCAGTCAGGTAGGAAGATATATTTAGCCAGGAGCGTTCCAATGAAACTGGGTTAACTATTCAACAACACGAAAACATACGGATTGGCCAACATGTCCCGTTTGAGAAAGTGAACCTGTGTAACCCCTTTCCAAAATATTGTGAGCAGGAAACTGTTCCTTTTAATGTGTCATCTTGAACATCCGCGTTCATAATTCGTATATATTTTTACATCGCTGCCTCAATAAGTTCAATGTTTTTTTGATCGTCTTCTGGTTATTGTTTGATAACACATTGAGTGAACCAAATTGTTTTTATGAAACACATACTGATATGATGATTTTTTAATTAATAAAAAGTTTTCCGTATCACTAAATCCGGATCGTTACTAAAATAATATCGTGCACTCATATATACATATAAAAAGAACTTTAACTTAAAAGAACATAAGAATTATTATATCCTTTTATATATTCTCTATTCATTTATTCGATACTCATACCTTAAATCAGTTCGCAAACGATATACATAAATAAATACAATAAATAACTGATACGGTTTTGTTGCCGGGCAAAACACACATGTCCCAAAATACGTTATCACCAGTCACATCGATGGCGCGATAAGGGTTCACTAAACTAAAATAAATAGAAATTAAATTTATTTCCAATTTGTTTATCGCTACAGCACTAAAGAAAATTTCACTTAGTTCTGTCAGTGTTCAGTCGGTTGAATGACCTCGCATCGAAATTGATTACTCACAAATACCCGAAAAATAGGTGCGTTGTCTGATAAAACATTACGTTTGACGTGAACTGAATTGATGGGATTATTAATCTTTTGTTTTATTCAAATAAAATGACAAAAAGTAACATAGAATACGTACATTTCAAACAAATTAAACACCGAAGTTAGCAGAATTATATGTTTTGTATGTAAAATTAGACTAACAATTAATAGTAATAAAAATAAACTAGTGTTTACACTTATACAGTCATAGAGATTTTCCGTTGTCACGACTCTTGCCCCTGTTGATAATCCGAATTCAACGATAAAGGTGTTAACGACCTTACAAATTATAAATTTTTAGAAAAAAATATAAACGGATTATTCTATGACTTTCCACTCACACCATATAGTAATTCCTTTGCTAGATTTACAGTCTTAAAAGGATTTATTCATAGCTAATCGATAGTATTCAATCAGTGGAACATATTTATATTGAATAAGTTAATTTTGTAACTAATTTGAAGCGCTATCTAAAGGGAGCGGTGAGTTAACCTATTGTGTCACTTGGAAAGTTAAAGAATGACCAATCGGATACAACAATAAACAATAGTTAGATGTCAATGACATACATCAGGCGGTATTGTGATCTAAGTCGTCACCAGTCCATTAACCAAAAAGTTATGTTCATTTAATTAAATCAAAGAATCACTGATATTGTTACGTTAGTTCATGAAATGCACTTTGAATGAACTAGGCTGAGTCATTCAATGAGATCTAAGATTTATACGAGTATTCATTTAAATGAAACTGATATTTTCGGATTTACTACGTGATTTTTATTTTTCATTTTAAAATAGATACTGCCGACGTTTCGGTTACTTTACAGCAACCGTGATCACGGGCAGACGAGATGTAAAGTAACCTAAACGTCGGGAGTATGTAGTTTGTAATCAAAAATTAAAATCGCGTAGTAAATCCAAAAATATGAGTCATTGTAATTCAAAATCTTACCTTGTGATTCATCATATTGTCAAAAATTACTAATGGCTTTGTGTATTTGTATTAATTTGCCTATATTCCTAGATAAAAATATTACCTACATACTGGATATATATATATATATATATATATGTTATATGTGACTATAGTCGTATGTTTAAGTCGACACGACACATATTTTGTTATATAACAGCCAACCGATGCGGCGGGGCGGTCCGCGTCATTCGCCTAGTTTCACAATGCTCATCTACCACAGCTTGTTTTCACTTTTTGGCTGTCAAGAACGTTGAACGACAAACAAACTCACATTTTGTCCGCTACTCGCTAACAACATGAGGACGTAAGGACAGCCGTCAGTCAATATAATATGATATCTATTCCATTGTTTTAAAGTTCAAATTCTATTAAAATCTATTTCTAAACTACAACGCCACTTGTGGATATGCCATCCATAGTTACAATCGGTCTAGAAGGCTGTCTATTCGCAAATGTTTTGATGCAAAATTGAACCGTATTCAACTACAATAGTGATGGAATTAAATATTCAACGTATTGTGTTAATGCTGTTATCATATACCAAGCGGTTGTAGAAACGCCGAGGCTGGTCATTGACCCTTTTTTGGCATATACGTTAACGAAACAAAAGACTGTTTCAGAGACATTAGGAGAACCTTGGACTGATATTGTTGCATATTGCAATTCAAGGGATGAAATGAAATATTTCATCTTATACTTGATGACTCAATAAAAAATTATATACCAAAAATATTAATAAACTATATGACAAGACATCATTCTTTACATATATGTATATTATTTATATCTGTTATATAAGTGTGACCGTCATAAATAAGTCAAATTTAAAATGTTACAGCTGCCAATCTAGTAGTATTAATGAGGAGGCACTTAATCTGTCCAACTCGTGAAAACTAAGGCATTGTTATGGGTTAAAATTGCTTAGTTGTTAAAATCGCTATTGCAAAGCTAACATTGCCTCTCACTGGCGCACGTAACATATAGTTACGCAAAACCTTCTTTACCGTTGTTTATTTAGGACAAATTTATTAAGATGTTTTAATTTAGCGGCATTAGTTATTGAGTTGTGAGAAATGAAAGGCCACTTAATATCTGTCAACATGTAAAACACGCTAATCACTAGCTTAGTTCATAAGCTTTTGGCCGATAGATAAAATTCAGTTCACTTTTGAAATGCCAGCAGTGCTGACAATTATTTAAGTAGCGCTAAATCGAAAGGATTCCAAAAATCTTACATTTAAAGTAATTTCCTGATATTTTTTTATTTTATATATATATATATTTGGAGCTTTCATTTAAAATGTATTTTTTTAAATGCGCTATACGAAAAGTTACCAAGTAAAACGAGACCTCAAATTTAAAAACTTTCGCCAGAGGGCGTTGAATCCTTGCGTAAGAGTGGCAATGTCACAGTTATGTAAATGTCGACTTTTGACAACAAAATTAAAGAAACATATCCTATTTCTTTACGAATCGGCTATAATTATAGGGTTTTAAATACTACTTTTTTGACGGGATATTTAAAAAAATGTAACTAATAAAAGGCTTATATTGAAATTATATTGAATGAAATATGGCCTGTCATAATTAGTGGTATGTACATGAAAGAAATACACTAATTCGGTCAGTCAGTCAACGTTTGCACGCGAAGGAAACGGGTCACATTAAAATAATTATTTGCTTTAAAACATCGACTAACGAGCGTGAGGCGAATAAAAAGATTTTATTTTTGCAATATACCAAAAGCATACGTTTCATACTTATAAATGTATTATGTAAATGTATGCAGAAACTATAATAAAATATATAACTCTCTCCAATAATGTTTTTGAAAAATAATTACTTCTTTAAGCTCTTATAAAAGTTATCATTGAAAGATTCCCTTTAAACACACGACCCGAAGAAACGCTTATAAAAATTCATATACCAGCAATATATTACTGAATCGAGGTAAATGCAAGAAGTGTTAAATATTATAAATTCCTTTCTATTAACAGGCGAGAAAATCACGCGATATAGTTACAGTAACATAGTAAAGTAAAATTGAGGAAAACGCTTTCCGGGGTCAACGACCGCGTTGCGTAAAGCATCGGTGGCGAAACGTATGTGCTACCTTCGTTTGAGTTAGTGGTTCAGGTATGACTAATAATTTTTGATAGCCTCTGATTACACTTATATGAAAAGAAAGAAATAATTTTAAAATGGAATTATATCTCTTGAAGGATTCAAAGAAAATCATTTTTATTTGTTTTTAATTAATATGACGTGTTGTATTTCGTCGCTTTTTATTATAATTTTTGTAGTAACATATCTATTGAAAAGCGATGAATCAAAAATAAATTTATAAAGTTTGAACGTTGTTAAAAAATATACTGTAATTGATCCCATATATATTTTCATTCTTAATTTCGATATAAAAATATTTATAATGTTATAAAATTTACACTTTATATCATATATTGGAGACCAGCCAACGCACTCCGAAATCAACAAATAAACACGTCAAAGTGCAAAATTAAACGCAAATGACGAAACCAAATTTAATTCCTAGGTCAAGGTTTGGCTCCTCGAAATGGGAAAATTGCTACATATCAGCGACCTTAACTTGTGACGGTGTCGCAATAATCTTGAATTCAACTATAGGAAATATTCCGAACACGTTTTATATAGCGCCGTGTATTATCTTACTTAAACGCAAAAGCAGTACTGAAACCTGACTGTTACGTAGAAGCTAAACCAAACTACTCATAGTTGTTATCTTT